CACATCAACTCTTGCTTCAGAAATATTTTTTGGAAAATTATCTGAGGTCCATATGTTTAAAATTGTATTTCTTCTTTCACTACTTAAAATTAACATCTCAGTTTCCTGCTTTTTCAAATGCTTGCATTTACTCGTGATTTTCCGAGAAGAAAAAGTTTATCTTTCAATCTAGTAATTTTTTGCAGTGGTAAAACAGTTCTAATTCATGTTATATATATATAAAACCCACAGCTATTCAATGGCAGACTTCCTGTCAGTGCAAGACTATGTTTAGGCACAGTTTTGGAAGGCCAAATCCAAATCCCTTTTTCATTGGGAAGTGTGAATAAAACAGTTTCATATTTTCAAACTTCTGCACACTTCCCATGCAGTCTTSTAACATCATCTCATTTGTTTTGTGGCCTCAGATGTCTAGGCATGATCCAGTTAATTATACTGCCTTATTTTCTTGATGTGGATAGTTCCACAGCAATCATCTGATAACTCTTCTTTAATTCAGCCATCCATACCTGAAAAAATTTTGTCTGAAACCAAGAAAAAYACCAGATATGAAGGTCWAAGCTAAATGYTGTGTGCCACTGTAGTRCACAGTCTGCTACTTGGCTTTRTTACAGGGRATGRCCCCAGGCCTGGGKTTTTTTTAGCATAGATATTGCCATTAATGACTATACTCTAACGCTCTTATTTGTACAAAGATGATCATCTGACCTATTTCTGCAATTTTATTTAAGTTCATCTTAATGTGTTTGTTGTCTGTGCTCTTATTTATGCAGCAGTCACTGTTCATAAGCTTTTTATCTTTCTGAAGGTAGCGCAGTATTTGTGTTTTTTCAAAAGTGGTTTCTGGTATTAGTGGAAAATGCAAAATCATCAAATCATCTTGCTTTGGGACTTTTTATTCTTCTTCCTCTGCTTTAGGTGTTTGTTTATCTTTGAGAYTCTGCATTGGTAACTTTCTCCACACGTGTATTTCATTCCATACCTTTGATGGCCTTGCGGTGTCTTCATGTTCCATGGGTGAAAGTGTGTTCAGTCTCCGGGCACAGACTCTTGGGGAAGTTCTGGTTTATCTTTTTAATCATATTATAACTTTCTTGACTAATTTTGGCTACCTGGTGGTTGTCAAGGTGCTCTCAGTTTTTTGCTGGCCATCGCTTTTTTTTGCTCAGCGGTGGACATTCTAACATGAGTTCTTGAGTGCTTCTTGAGTACTTAGCAAGCATGTTTCACATGTGTTGGGACCATATCCCTTAGGTCTGGCATTATTCTTAAAACCTGAATTTAAATGTCTACTTCTGTGGTAATGGCTTTGCATTACTTCTACTATAAATTATTCTTCTGCTGCTTGTTTTTCCCRTTTTTCTTGGGAAACTTTGCATCTGSCCAATGCAAAGAAAAGAAAAGCTTTGGTTTGATGTGAAAGGATTTGATAAGAAGAGTAGAGAGACCATGCTAGGCTATGCCTGAACTTGCAYTTTCCATCACCTTTATGGCACACAYGGACAGAAGTTTGGAGCATGGTCAGAATTGAATCCTCCGTTGTCCCAACAGCTGTGAACTCACAACACGAAACACTTCTGGGAATCACCACACAAAATCATTGGARCCCCACCTTTACTGATGAAGAGGAGTACTCTCCTAGCTCTGCCAGCAGGGGTAAAGCAATCAAGCATTTCAGATTTCTGATATAATTCAGTGGCGTGTGACACTCGTGGTGCAGCTGTTGGTAATTGCCATTGGCCTCAGTTCAGTGTAATAATACCTTTACAGCCCTCAGAGGTGGCATCTGTAACATTCATCTGTCATTCTAAGTTTATCTTTTGCATCTAAAGTTCACATCTTGCCACTTTTCCTCACATCCCTGGTATTTTTAAGTTTGCACTGCCAGAAGTGTGCAATAAAAATGAGCAGGCTGTAACTTTTGGTGACCCAACTCAGTGAAAAAAAAAATTCCTTTTTCCACTTCAAAATTTCTATCATAAAATCTGAAGACAAAGGACAAAAAAAGAAAGCTGTTGTTTCAAATACATAAAATTTTCCTACAAAGTAGGTAGTATGAATACTACCTCCAGATGAATGTGAACATTTTGCTCCCTGTGTTAGTGCCAGTAGCCAACTGAGATACCAAAATGTTCAAGCTTAAAACCTTCTGTGGGCAAAGGCTTAGGGAGTGCATTCTCAAGCCATTTTTGCTGTGCCTTTCTGATTCTGAGATTGTTTTGAACAGTGGAAGTTTATACAACTGGCATTAGAAAAGATTCTGTAATCACACAGAAATAGTTTTTGCAAGAACTTTCTTTTAGTAGTGAAGTGTTGTTAGATCAGTTGTATTCATGAGTTGATTAATATTAACTCTCAATATATATGCATTAGGTTTAATTTTAAAATAATTAGCTGCATTTGCGCGAGTGCTTTCTTTATGAATATTTCATTGCCTGAACGTGAAGATAAATATGCCTCTGGTTTTTCTCTTCTTGGGAAATAGTATAGGTTCTCTGTCTGGTGTTTTATGACATCTACAACAGCTCATTCTTTGCATGTTCTGATTAAGCCTTTGCTTTACTTTTAATATACCATCCAAGAAATGTTTGATACCTAAGGAAAATATATTTCCAGCTGAGTTCTGATGCTCATCTTAGGTTTACTGATGTGTCTTTTCCAAACCTGTCAACCTTTGTTAGAACATCTCTCATGGTGGTGGTACTTCAGCTGATTTCTGACTGCCTCTTCTGCTGTGTAAACAACAGCAAGTTAAAGAGTGAGCCACGAATTAATTTAATTGGTAAGAGCTTTAATTATCATTGAGTTCAAAATAAGTATGCTTATCTACTTCTACGAACCTACTTATTTCATGCATGCAATCTCAGAAGATGTTACAATTTCCTTAGAACCAGCTTTGTAATTGTGTAATTGAGATACTAAATCAAAAGAGAAAGTTCATCAACTTTTTCACTTTAAAAACCCAGAAGACACAAATAATTTAGTGTTAATAAATAGGAAAAAGAGATGCAAGCTGTTGTTTCTATGAGCTCTTTGGCTTCTCAGATATCTTTTATCTTCCACTGGTCATTGGGATCCTTTCTAGCTCACAGAAATCTGCTGCTGCTCCTGGTGATGCTTTTGTGGGATAAGGTTTCCAGAGGACTTCTGTTTTCTTTCATCTTTCATTTCACATGAAATGCAATAACAACAAGAAAAAGAGCCAAAATGCAAAAGCCAAACACCCTTCTAATGTGGACCATGATGATAAGGATAATATGAGTGATGCTGGGTATTTTGATCATTATTAATTCAATCATCATCTTATTAGTACTAGTTACAAGTGAAAATGAAAAACACCAAGGACCAACCCAGCATCCAGTATTACACAGCATTCATTCTGGAGGGATCACTCAAGAGCAAAATCCTGCAAACACCACTGGCAGTATTGAACAACAGGAATTTACTATTGCAGGCGAAAATTATTTTGGAAAGGAAACTTCTCCTACAGGTAATATAATGGGTCACATTTTAGTAAATTTTCAGGGTTTTTCGGAGATTTTGTTTTAGAATTTTTTACTGGTATTTTTGCATTCTCAGGCCATGACACGGATTCTGCAAATAAACCTGAGCAATTCTGATGTTATTTTTTTTTCAATTAGTCAGTTCTTCAGATCTGTTCCTGGATGTTTCTCTTCTATTTGTCTTACATGTCAAGGCCTTTAATGGATTCATTCTGTAGCTGTCTCCTACATTTTGCATGTCRTGCAGTCACAAGCTTTCAACAAGCTACCAGCGTTTTGTCTGTAGAAAACAGAGATGGTTTAAATAGAAAAATAATAATGTGTGTTGTATTTTTCACTCATTTGGGAACTGTGTTCACTCCTCTGTTGCAAGCCATTACTGGACCTGGGATTTTTTTTCCCCAGTTTTGTTAATATGGCAGTTATATCTAAAAAAAAATCTGTAATGTCTACTCATCCTTCTTTTGAATTATGGCAAGATGATAGTAGTGRTGAAGGAAAGAAAACAAAGCACAATGTAGAATAAGAGAGAGRCTTCAACTGAGACTTAAAAGATCAAATTGTRCTATAAATCTGGTWACTGAAAATTGACATATTTTGATTTCTGTTCCTGTGAGTGTGCCAAATCTATGAGTTAACAACAGCTGTGSTGTGTTAAGCAGTGCCAGCAGTGAGTGCACCACAGTCATCATCTGCTCTTGTGGATTATCAAATACAGGTCTCTGATAAATCTCTTATACTACACCACAAAGCAATAGATAATGGCCTAATTGCAATTAAAATTGCAATGCACTGGGGCAAATGTTTTGCCTTTTTTTTCCTTATTGGGTTGAAGAGATTAACAAGGGTTATGCTTTTTATGAGATTTGGGTACTCTTGCTGTGACTGTCTGATAAAAACTACACGTTGGTTGATATGGATAATGTTTTTCTAAATAACTGCAATGTCAAATATTCTCCAGGTGAATGATGTCTTATTAATWGTGTGAATGATGTCTTATTAATTGTGTGCAGCATTCACAAATCTGTAGCATGAGCTAGCATCCCATTTGCCCTCGTTCCTTATCTGTTTTCTTGGAGATGCTGCAACTAATGGAACAGTGAAATTTTGAAGGGCATAGTCAGTTGGGTATAGTCAACACATTCAAATTCTGTGATTAAAATCTTACTGATGGGTCATATTCTTGGGTTATTTATGCTTTTGAGGTTTTCAATTGTGCATCAGTGAATATTGGCTTGATATTCAGCCAGTAAAAAGTCAGCAAGATTTGGAGAAATGCTTTTGAAAAAACAGTAAGATGCCTTGATTTTGAAAAGCATATGCTCAGTTTGAGGGAGAAGTTTGTCCTACTGATGACAGTAGGCAGCTTTTATAAATATCAACCAGGATGAGAAGAAAATCTACTTTACTTCTCTTTGCCATTAAACGTAGTAGACATGCAGGCAAGGCCTCTCATAGAGACAAGAACCGGAGAGGAGAATAATGTGAGAAATGGATCTTTATATACTGAGTTGGTAATTGCTTCACCATCATCATAACAGCTATGGTCCYCAGCCAAGGGGCCACACAGAATGACTCAGCACAAGAGCCGTGGGTGTATCCAGGCTGGCACGAGGGAGAGGATTATGCCACACAGCCAGCGGATAGAGTAACGGATAGAGCTATTCCTTCCAGAGGGAACGCTTGGGAAAGACACTCTGCCACTACAGGTACAAGTAATAATGTCAGYTATGTGTGTCACATCACTTCTGTCTCTCAGATGGCCTCTCCTGGAAAGATACTGTATGACATTGTAGGGAGGAGGAATTGCTGATCTCTCAAAATAATGACATAAACTGTAGAGCTTTCTACAGCTTTCTACAAATTTTCTCTTGCTGTCTGGATGGTGGTGAGACAGAAGATTTCAATTTTAGCTCGGTATAAAACATCTGTTCTTTACTTGCCAAGACCACTTYTAGGGCTTGTCATCCCTTAGTGAGAAATGGCTGTGAAAATGCATCCAGCTCGTTACATGAGTTACATGATTTGGTGCTGCCCGACTGTCTTTATCATAAAGTTGAATTCATACTTACATATATTTGTACATCAATAGATCAATCCATGTAATATGTGAATATTCACCTGGCAAAAAAAGTCTTCTTTTCATGGACTTTATTGAAATATTTATCCCTCTGGTTCATTTGTAGAATGATGAGAGATAGGAATTTATAAAACTGGCATGACACAGCATCATGATGCAGTCTCATATAACACATAGCATTGATAACATCAAAACAATGTTCTAAAAACGTGATGTGCTCTCTTCTTCAGCATGTGGCAGCATRCAGGAGGCTGAGACTCTGTAGTTAGCCTGGGATGCAGGTTGGGGAATTCTTCTGACTGCTGCCTCTGTGCCTTTTCCCATGTCCCCTGTCCTTGAGAGTCTTTTTAATTAAGTATAAAAGCAAAGAGGAGTAGCAAATGGGTATGCCTTACCAAAACTGTGAGAGAGCAGTGATGATGTACAGGACCCTTCTCTGCCCTTTCTGTGGAGAGAAAGGGTAACAGTGCTTTAAGGGGAATAGGAGGTTTGGATGGGATGGTAATGGGAAGGCCACAGCAGCACACATGTGGAATTCCCAGCTATTAAATAATCTGTGTTTAAATCATCTGTTATTAAACCATCATAACAGCCGTTGCCTCTCCTGAYGGTGCCCACCASACAGACCCAACTCCATCACCTCTGCCTGCAGACAGTGAGCCAGGACAGGGCACTGATGGCATCACAAACCCCAAAGATGCCCCCAGGGTTGAAGTTCTCCACAGGACCACAGCCACTGTGACCGAMACTGGTATGACTCTCCTCTGATGGGTACCAGTAAGAATAATGGACTGTACTCATTTCTCATGTCCAGTGTGAAATGAGACATTATTTCTTCTGAAGCTGACTCTGCCTTGTCTTTCTCGTCTTGGAAGTCTGCATTCTTGTTGTGAACTTGCAATGCAAATGTTTTTATGATTTTGTTGCATGTCAATATCCCAACAAGAATTCCTGTCCATTTAAGGATTTTTCTTTTTCCTGGGTGCCCTGTTCCTTTTGTCCCCTGACTTTTCTCAGGTTTATTTTTAACTGAGAAAGCGATGCTTTTTGGAGGTGGCTGGTAGTGTAAATTAATTATAAACTTCAAATTTGATTTTCATGTCTGGTCATACCTGATCTTGATATTTCAATATATTCTCTTAATACTTTAAATTTGAAATAATTTAATGGAGTTTTTTCATGTAGTYCTGCAAAGTTCTAGCTTAAATTCCTAAACTCTGCATTATCCATTTAAACTTACCTTCATTTAAAATTCTGTTTTATTTATTTAATACAATAAGATGTATTTTTATGGCACTGTAGTTGTTTGGAACTTCTTGCATCTTTCCTCTCTGCATTTTTTTTTTAAAAGAAATTCTAAGGCAAAATTAGCAGTTTCCTTTTGCTTTTCTTCCTCAAAATCCATTTTTATCAGGATTATGTAATCCACAACATTTAGGATTTGTCAGAGAGAGTTATGAAAGCTATAGATTGTGTGGATTATAAATAYAGTTCGTGGATTAAAATACAGTTGTGTTCTCTATCATCTACTCATGTTTTCTAAATATGAATGAGATTCTGTAAAGTTTCACAGTTAGCTGTTTTTGAGGTTTGACACATCGGTTGCAAATATGAAAACCCAAGTATAATTCATCAGTTTGTYCAAATGTTTTAAATTAAGTCATTCTAATCTAATTCCTGTGTAGCAAGAGGAATTCTTACACTCATTGTGAAAACAATATTGCTATTTTGTCCCTTCTAAACAATGTTTACTCGGTATTTTCAAAACTGATCTTGTAGGCTGCGTGGCGAGTATCAGTGAAGGGAAAGACAAGCCAAAAGGAGTGTGTCATATACAGAAGATATTCTTTGCTTGTGGGTTTGGGTTTTCCTTCTTCTCACTGCATATTCTACATAGGCTAGTAAATAAAATAGAGATTACTAAGTTAAATAAGGAGGCAGCAATATGTGAGGTGGRTTTTTAAAATGTTTTTGAAGTTAACTTAGCCATTGCCACAACAGTCACRTCCTCCACCGACATTCTGGCACCGGAAGATGTCACCCAAGAAGTGTGGGCACCCCACCTTGTCACAGCTGTTTCCTCCCCTGATGGTGCCCACCACGCAGACCCAACTCCACCACCTCTGCCTGCAGACAGTGAGCCAGGACAGGGCACTGATGGCATCACGAATCTCACGGATGCCCCCGAGGATGAATTCTTTCACAGGACCACAGCCACTGTGACCGACACTGGTATGACTCTCCTCTRATGGGTACCAGTAAGAATAATGGACTGTACTCATTTCTCATGTCMAGTGTGAAATGAGACATTATTTCTTCTGAAGYTGATTCCTTTCACTGTCTTTCTCATCCTGGGGATCTTAATTCTTGGTGTGGACTTGCAGTGAAAAATCGGTGGTAGGATCTGCGGACAAGGCATAGGGGACTCTCTGYTGGTGCACTTGGTGGCTTGTGTCCTTTGCTATTTTTGGGTGATCTCCTCACTGTTCTGCGAGACAGGCACTTTGATTGTGAGTGCCCACCTCCTGTTCCTTCCTTGTGCYTCGGTGGGGTCAAGGCTGGATGTGCTTTGGCGCCGTGGTTGATGTGSTGGAGGTGCTCTGGTGGCTTGTTCAGACGCTCCTGTGGCTCAGCAGCAGCACCTGGCTGGGGAATGGTGTCCCAATAGTGAGGGCAGGGCGATTGTAGAAGAATTCCATCCCTTAAATTCTGCCATCAGTTTCTCCTCACCTATGGATTGCCAGGCAAGGCTGGCACAGGTGAGGCCGTTCACCCCTGAGCTGCAGGGTCAGGTTGTTGCTGCTGCAGTCTCTTCTTCTGGAGGTGTCCCCTCTCCATCTGTCACTGGGATCTGCACATGGCTCCAGCATGCTGAGCATGGCTGTGGAGCTGAAGGGTCTCTCAGAAGCCGGTGACAGTGGGGAAGAGGAAGGAGGGGCCTTCCTGACTTCTCTCCTCCTTCTGTGCTTTGCATGAAGAAGGTGGAGGTGCTTCCCAGCTGCTGTGGCCCAGGGAATGGTGTGGGTGGTGGTTTGGTGAGTGCTCCTGACCGTGCCACCATCGTGACAGTGACAGAGTCTGTGGATGATGCTGACCAAGAGAAAGCGACCCAGGAGCCTCTGGCACCGGGCRCTGTGCCTGGAAGGGAAGAGGAACAGGTGAACACCACAGATGGCTCCCATGTTCATGGCATACCTGGAGTRTTTTCAGACATTGAAGACCGCTTTGTTCCCTTTCAGACTCCTCTTACTCCCAGTAAGAACAATGAATTATAACCATTTTCATTTATCCACCAGTGAGCTGTTATTGTGGACAATGGCTATTGTCCCAAATTGTGTACTAAGCATAATTGTAAATGGGTGTCATATTATGATTTCCTTTTTGGGTTTTGTTATTGTTTTAACCTGCTGATTCAGATGTTATGAAGGGTATCTCTTTCCAGTAAAAGCATTTGCTACAAGGCCACAAATAGTGTTKTGCAAATAAGCTTTTCTTATACTCTGTTATCAGCACATGGTAACACAACTATTGAAGTGAGGAAGTGCCAACTTTCTGCTCTGCCCATACATTTGTGGTAGCATTTTGTCTTTCTATTTTTGCTGGGCACRAATGATAGCTATGCCACCCTTAACTATGTGTCACTTTTGCCCCATCTGTAACTTTTCTACATTAGATKAATACATACAAAAGCAGGGTAATTCTCCGTGACATTTTTTTCTCTGTATCTGTGTTGTTGGTATTTTGCCAGTGATTAATTGTAGCTGTGTTACTGGGCTGTAAATGACATTTCATTTGTCAACAACTTTGTTTTTCAAAAGGTTATGCTTTTGATGAAGTTACTGCAGATAACAGTGTTTGCTTATTGTACTTCATATAATTTTTGGTATTTTTTTATGTGTGGTCACATGCCAAGGATATGGGAAATGAAGGGACTTTTCCTTATTCCCAAAAGTAGTTTCCACACAAATAACCATCCTGACAGTAAGGGGTTTTTTTTTTTTTTTTTTCCAAATTCAGCTAATTCAAACACTGTTTTCATGCTCATTCTTGGAAGTTAGTGGAACCATTCCAGAGTAGAATTTGGCCAATGCTCTGCAGACACTCTTTGCACATTAACAAGATTATGTACCTGTACAGCATTATACAGAAAACACTTGAAAGAGAATTCTCTCCATAGTTTATTAATATTAATTAATATATTGTGAGGTAGAACTTGGCCTAATTGTTTTTTCACAAATTTTGTGTAAGTAAAATTCATCAGCAAATTCAACTCCAACAAAATTACCTGGTTATAGCATTTTGACATAGGCATAGTACTGTGAATGTAAAATATCTATTTGACAGAATTTTTTAGGAAAGCTAAATCTGTTTTTCATAATGTCTTCCTACTAAAACTCATTTCTTCATTTCACAGGCCCTATTCACTTAATTAATCTAAACTGCCTCCTTAATKTTATGTGCAGACATTACACACTATGAAAAAATGTGTGCTACCTTTCTGTTTTGAGCACATAAAACCTGTAAGAACTGTTTTGAGTCTTTTCCAGTGAATATCTGCATTGAATCTTTGCATTGTCAGTGGCTCAGAAGGCCMTTTGCTCAAAACCCTTCCTTTTTTCACTTACCTTCTCTTGGTGCTTTTCAAGAACACAGTACAAGGGAGTTACCAAAATGTCATTGTCATAAAAGGTTTATTAATTGAAGGGTTCATTCATTTGTAATGCTTCCCCATACAGGTGAAATGGAATGGAAAAGATTAATGAATGTATTGTTAAAGGCCTTCTYTGATCAAATGAATGGTTTGATGCACTGTACCTCTTTGTTTAATTTGCTTTTTTTCTGCAGCAATGTTTGAACTGTGGTCTGACATCACACAATGCGTCAAAGCATCCACAGAATAAGTGTCCAAATCAGTCCACTGAAGGAACACAAAAAATAAAGGAAAATAATCTGTTACCAAAATGAAATGCAGAGAGCTTTTGAGGATCCCTCCCTGCCACTTGCAAGCACCTCCYCAGAGCCAGAGCAGCAGGGAAATTGGCTGAACTCTGCTTCTTCTTCCCAGTGCTCAGGGGAACAGCAAAYGTAGCAGGTTTCTAAGCATGCAGATTTTAATTAATGTCTGAATGCTTTTCCAAGGGTTTTGTGGAGGAAAAGCTCTGGGATTTAAGATAATAAAAAAGGTCTTAAAAAAATCTGCTGAGATGTAGGGTAGACAAGTTGGTAGGTCCCTCTTGGTCAGCTTTCTCTGGTGCTAGATCAGGTCTTTGTTGCTGAATTTGTGCTCTGTCCTTTGTTGTCAGAGAGCACCAAACAACACGCCAGCCAGTAAGTTTCTTGTTAATAAAAATAATAAAAAATTCTGGAAAATTCATTAACTGCTTGCTGGCTATGCTTCACAGAGGGGATAAAACACACTTCTCAGTTTTGCATTTGCCAGCTGTTGCTAGGAAATGAGATCAGCAATGCTGGACAGAAATGAGTTGTGTGTTAAAGAAAAAGAACTTTACAGCTGATTASAGTTAGGGTTTAATTTCTTAGAGTCTGGAAGAATTCAGAGAGGTGGAGATCTGTAATATATTTTTTTGTAGTGATAATAAAATAGTAGCCCCAAATGAAATCACTGTATTTATAGTCTGCTGATAATTTTAGATTTRGGATACCCTTATGGTAATGGGGTGGGCCAGGAATGTAACTGCATAAAAGTTTAAGCAGTAAGGCCAACATAGAAAACACTAGAGACTGATTTAAGATCTAATACCATTTTAGAACCAAATTTCACAACTTATTAAAAAAAAAAAAAAACAAGAGGATCCACATCTGAGTTTGCAAAAAAGAAAAAAGAGAACTTTTTTTCTATTAAGGAAAAACATATTCTGATTTTTTTGAGTCCCACTCTATAGCTGTCAAAGTCACAACCATTCAGAGAAATATTGTTCTATTTTATGAGAGCATCAGGGTTTTAGATGTTCAGCTTTATCCTGTTGGAATAGAATTGAAACATATGAGGGAGACAAGAGGGGAAAGCCATGAGTTTTGCTTTTCAACATACTGAAACTAATTACTCCAGAATGAACTTTCTAGAGTATGATTTTGAAATTGTGACAATCACAATCTTTGTGCCTTGCTGCTAAATATTCACTAGGCATATTTGGCCTAATGGATGGKTTTTTTTGTTCTTTAGGCTCTACCTCCAGTGTATATGGTAACCAAAGACCACACAAGGGCGAGTTTGAATCCACGACTTCCCCTGGAGAGACCACCACAACAAAAGTAGCTACACAGCCAAGGTCGGCCCCTGTTCCAGGTAGGTTTTGAGGTCAAATGTTTTAAAAATCCAAGCACGGAATTGTGTCCATACCAGCTGTGGTAAGAGATGAAAATGAAGGTCAAACACAGTTGTTCAGGCTTTGTTCTGAATCAGATTATATTCAGCATTTCAYTGGTAGTCTGAAAAATGGAGTGTATTGTAACTCATATAATTTTTCAGCGATATTAAAATGAGAGAGACCATGCATTTGGAAAATGGGATTAAGATTCAAATAACTRTCATAAATCAATAGGAAATCAGGCAAAACTTGGTTAAGATATATGCAAAATATCATATCCATGGRAAAATAATAGCTGTGAAAATAGCATGGGAAAATAATTCAGTGAAAATAATAGCTGAACGGAGCTTGGAGATTAAAACAGAATAAAAAKAAGCCAACACCATGATACAGCTGCAAAAGAATGCAAATATATTCTGGAACCTATTAGTAGTAAAGTCATTTTTAAGACAGAGAAAGTAATTATCCCACTCCACTTAGGCCTAGCAAGTCCAGAGCTGAAGCTCTGTGTTCAGCTCAAAGCACTGCATTAGTCACATAGGAAAAAATAGAGCCGGCACACAGAAAATTTTGGGAAGATAACCTTTGAAGCACCTTTTGAAAAACTCATCGTTTTCAGGGAAAACTGAAGGGACGTATAAAGAAGAACATGCTACAAGAAGAATGCACATCAGTTTTTCACTGTGGAGTACTAATAATTAACTAATYAGAATTCATTTCTAATGAAATGCACGAGCCTTGTAAAACCAGGGAGAGTTGTTTCAAACCAAAGAGATACAGGACATTGGGAGAGGACTCAAGTAATGGTAATGGTAATAGAGAGTAGGGTTTGTTGTGAAGGGAAGGTTGTGAATYCTGCTTTACTAAAAACATGCTAAAGCCATCCTGGTCTGTGCCTGGGATTGTAGGTGTGTTATGTTAAGCCTTTTGCTGTTGGAATAAATCAGGGATTCAGCTCCTTTCCACCTACGGCCACCAAGGTGCGGTGCCTACAGGTGACAACAGTGATGGGGTGTTTAATCTGAGCTGGCCTGTGTACAGCTGAATGATGAAAATGTATTTGATTTGCACAGAAAGACTTTGTAAAAACAAACATTCGTGCAAACTAGGAAAAGAGTGGGACAGTTTAAAGCAAGTAGAAGGGATTGTGTTCTAGCAGTTTTGAAATGGCAAAGCACAATGGGTGCACTGACTGCTCCSTTCCCCTCCTCACCTCTCCCTGCAGAGTGGCTGATCATCGTCGCAGCTCTCGTGGCGCTGGCGCTGGTCCTCGCAGTGTGCATCGCTGTCAACAGCCGCAGGAGGTAAGGACACACCTCTGCAATTCCAGAACACACTGTTTGCCTCACTGACAGGCACCACAGCTCTGCAAAGAGCAGGGCAGCAAAATACAGGCATGAGCATCCTCGGTGCAGCTCTGTGGCTTGGGGGTGGGGACCCAGGTGACCGTGTTGTGCACAGGTCACACATCAGCCTTCACACACCTGGAACCTTCACTTGCATGAAGTCAGCAGCACCACAAACCATTTGGTGTTGTAAATGGAAATAAACTGTATATAGATCACAGAAAATTTCTTGTTCTCTATTAGTTGTTAATAGGAAAATCCTGTTCACTGAGAGTGAAAGGTGTGAGATGAGCAGGGACAGTGACAACCACAGGATAAGCCAGGAAWAATCCCCCACCATTAACAGCACTGTCAGTGCATGAGGTGAAGGGCTCTCTTAGACAATCAGAGATTCTGGGATAGTCTGATAATCTGCTCCTWCCAAACAGGAGGCACTATCACAGCTGGCAGTCACAAGGATACATGCTAAATTGCTCTCAGAGCTTTATTTACTCCTGTTTACAGATGAAGAAGCTGAGGAATGAAAATAATGCAGTGATCTGTGCAGAGTTAGCCAGGAAATTTGATAAAAACCCAGCCTAAAGCATAGGCTATAATGTTCTTACCTTTTACTTTTCTCTGGAGTCTGTTCTGAGGTTATTTCCCATTGCCTTCATCAGCTTTTTGCAACTTGAATGTTAAAATTGAGCTTTTTAATGGAGTAATTATTTACTACTTAAATGTTGAATTTTAATTCTTTTTTAAATCAGAATGATCAAATAATTCGTGGAGATTTTTTATTCAGGAAGCAGTGAGCACATTTTTTCCTCTTGGTTGCAGAGCACTCTGAGCTGCTCTTTTAGGAGGCTGTGGAGCTCCACAGCTCCTGGCTGGCGTCTTTTAGCATTTTATGGCTGCAGAGCAGGAAATCGTTCCCAAGGGTGTGTGTAACATTAGCACAGTGAACTGAGCTACTTCAGATAGAATAACCCTCATCTATGAGTCAGTAGGCATGAAAAAATAGTATTTCAGAAACATAATAGTACAACYGAGCAGCCAAATTAGTCATTCAGGCAAAATACGCTTCCTTTAAGAAGAAAGCACTTGAAAGTCCAACTTCACAGACACATTGTCCCTCTTAGGCATGCTGTGCTTTGCATATTCAGTTTGCACAAGGTGATTTCCAGTCACCTTTTCTTAAATATCAGCATTCTTTTAAATKATTGTTGTTAGTCTCCATTTATAATTATTTTTTTTTTGTTTCTTTCTAGGTGTGGGCAGAAGAAAAAGCTGGTGATTAACAATGGCAAAGGGGCAGTGGAGGACAGGAAGACAAGTGAATTAAATGGAGATGTCAGCAAATCACAAGAAATGGTGCATTTGGTTCATAAAGAGCAGTCAAATGACCGAACACAAGCATGTGACGAATTCCTGACTGTTAATGAAACACAAAACCATCACGAGTTTGACATGAAGACTGGAGTGTAATGGCACCACACTGCCAAAGCAGATCAGGGCTGGGGAAATCAAAATCAYGTGGAACTTGAACAGGAATTCACAGATGCACTGTGCTACTGATGTCTTTTGAACATAAATATAACTTCTATTTCTTTTCAATCACTTTGCAATGATGCCTGAGTTTAAAAATTGACATGTGCTTTCTGAAATACACCCCCAAGAGTTGCATAAGGCTCTCAGTTCCCAGTCCCTACACAGAGGACTCTCTCCTGGATATTAGGAGGCATACAAGTTTACATCATTATTCCCCAGATGGAAGTTCTTCACTGTGTGGAGCTAAAGAAATATCCAGTCACTCCATCTTGCAGATATTTAAGGTACTAAATATGCCATGGTACAGAAGCAAGTGAAGAAAAATGTCAACAGTAAAAAAATCAAGTTTAAACCCAAAAGGCATCTTCTACAATGTCTGAAACATCAGAATCCTTCAGAAATGCCTTCCAGCAGGAAGAGCAGTGGGTGCTGCCAGTATAAACAAAAAGTGACATTTTATGATTATGTATGGCTTGATCTGTGATGAGGGAAACCCAGAAGGACAAAATTTATTTATCTCTATTTTTAAATGTCTATGGGCACACAGCAAGTTTTCTCGGGAGGGACACAGAGAGATGAAAGCGTGAGCTGATCCTTAATAAACTTCTATACTTTATTATCCTAGGAACCTTTACAATTATCCTTGAGTTTTTGAGATATTCATTGCTCTCCTGTCTCCCTCATTCATTGGTCCAAGTTTGTGCATGTTTTTAATGAGTCTGTTAGTTAAGATAACAAATAAAACTAAATGACCCCAGCTCTATTATATATGCACAAATCAAGCAATTGAGGTCACTAGGGAAGCTGGCATTATTTTGTTCCTGAAGAATAGGTCTCTATATTCTGCTCCATTTTACTTAGGAGATGCTGAGCCTATTAATTTTTTCCCCTGTAACTATTATATTATACCAGATTGCTGATATTTTAAAAGTTGCTTTTCTGTGATCTTGCTCATTTCCTCAGAATTCTATTTCATCCACATTTTTTCTGTCTGCTTTTTTAAAAACACCAAAAGAAACATCGCTTGCTTGTTGGTACCTGAAGCTCAAATCTGCAGAAAAGATCAAAGCAAATGCAAGGAAACTCTCCCAGCCWTGTAAAATAGTAGAGTAGCTGCACTGCATTGTTACATGCTTTTGTTATGTCCTTTCGTGTCTGTTTGTTTAYGTAAAGTATTTGTACTAAGCTATGATGCTGTGCATTATATTGATATGAATTGTCAGGAAAAGAATTACTTATTACCAGTGGTCTGTGCCATTTTTAAGAAAGYGTGTTGGAATGGAGGGAGAATGATAACTTCTAATTGGACTGCCCCCAGGAAATGCAAGGAAAAGCCTTGGTCTGTGTCAGCTGTGGGGTGTGGATGGTCTGTAGCAGGTTATTCAAGGGTTCTGTTCCCTGACCACAGCCCCTGTCTTTGAAACTGCTCTGCTAAAGTGTGTTAGTTTGTGTTCTCCATCTGAAGCAGTCTGGAGGATGAGTATTCAGCTGGCTAGATCCTGACTTTAGCTAGAACTGATCTTCACTGGAACATAAAGCACAGGACAGTTGATTATATTTGTGAGTCACAGCCCTCCAGCAGTTCCCCATGTGCTTCATGGAAATGCTCAAGTGCCCTGGAATCTGCTGGCAGATCTCCTCAGGGCAATTTACACCTGGGCACAAAGTCCAAGACAAGGTGATGTCTYAAAAGACACATAGGATGTTGTCTGACTTTATGTAGGTCAGATATTTCATCTACGAACAGTGCATTGATTTTTGTTTGATGTTTTTAAGCAAGTTTTTCTATTTCTCATTATAAATCAAAATGAACTGTTGAAGGCTGTGTTTAAACTGATGGTAGGTACTCATTCCACTAAGTATGGAGATCCAGGATAATAATTAYTCCTCTCTTTAAATCCTATCTGAGTATAGGTTTCAGCAAAAAAGACTTATTTCATAGTCTTGGAAGCTAAATTTCTCTTTTTAAAAAAATGAAAAATCTGTCGCAGGTTATTCATCTCCCTATTCAGATGTTGAATGAAGAAATGCACAAATTTCTTCCTAATTTATCTTATATTGAGTAGCTATAAAAGCACAGACAACACTGTTTGGGTTCTTTATATATTTTTAAATGGGAGATGCTCAAGAGTCAATGCCATTATTTTATATATGCTGATTCTTTTTAGAGTATGTCCTGTGCCTTGTGTAATTGTTTCATTATAGTTTCAAGACTAGATGGCCATTTCATATGTGTAATATAGTACATATTTTTTATTAATCTTGCTTTTATTATGAGGGGTTATTTGTTGTGTGTATGTATTTTTATATAGAGCACTTGATATATTTGCATATTTATTTAACAGATTAATCAGAATGAAAGAAAATCTCATCTCTAAATTGTAACTAGAAATAGTATTGCTAAAAACACATCGGACTTTAAAATAAGCTTCCAAAATAAACCTGATTCCACTCTGAGGATAAAATGTAAGACCAGAAATTAGTGGGAGAGAAGTGTCCAGCAGGATAGTTGTGTTGAGTGCTGTGATCATTTTTTTCTGCTTGAGAATTCCAAGCCAGGCTGAGGTGAATGCTGTGTGACCTTGTCTGCTCTGCCAGCCCCCCGTGGGCTCCACAGATGTTCTGAGGGTTGGTGCTGAACTCAGCTTTCCCCCAGAAGGAGACAACAACTCGGTTCAATTTGAGATCAGCCCCGTGAGATCTCGACAAGCATTCCTGGCTCACTGAACCCACAGCATTTGGAGAGCTCAGCACCCAGCAAGGTCCAGCCCTTCCTGCAGGGTGCTGACAGGCAAACTGTGTCCTGGKCTGTGCTTGGTGCCCTGGAAGAATGAGGAGCTCTCCTAAAGATGCTAAGGAGATCAGACCCTGCGATCAGCTTGTGCTATTCCTTTGTCTTGGAAAATTTCAAATAAATGTGATGCAGATCAGTGGAGATACTGCCTAAAGCAGCAAGCATATTCAAGAGGAAGATGATTGTATGTTTTGTGAGAAAGTAATATTTTCATGAAGCAATGCAAGCTGACTGTTTAATCTGTATTTTCTTGAAGATCTGAAAAGGAAWGTTTGATTAAAGCAGAGAAAGGATGTGTGGCTGTCATGTCTACCTGTGTGGATGTTAAACCCTTCCCATAACACCAGTTCCAAAATTGTAGTTTTGCAGTTTTTCACATGATAGGGATGTTTGGGATGGTTTTTGTGTATCCCTTGTCAACAATAGCAGCCTCTACACTAATTAGTTTAAAGCATATTGCCTGGAATATTTTTAGGAGACAATTGCCAAGTGTCTCTTTARCACATATGATTCTGGTTAGAGCTGGTCCTAATTATTGTTTCTGTAGATGAAGGAAATAAATGCTCTGTCAAGTGTGTTCTGCTTCAGCATACACAGACACCAGGGTATTTTTAAAGTCAGCAGTTAATTGGTTTATTTTAAGCTATATTAGGCCATTAGACAATAATTATTTCTTAGTTCTTTATTAAACAATTCAAGGGTCTGACTCCTCTGAGTCTCTGATTAGTYAAACACCAGCCCTTTTGGTAACCACAGGTTCTCACTGGTTCTGCTCTGTGGAGGGGAAAAGGACAAAAGGCAGCAGGGAAAGGGCTGCTCCTTGGGGTGTGGTTCCAGTTGTGTGGGAGCGGGTGACAAAATTCCAGTTCCTTGAGGGTGGGAAGAATTGTGCAAAGGTGTTTTAGGGGTGGAGCTCCGGGGGATTAGGGATGGAGGGAGAACACAATTTCTGGGAAAGGGTGTAAAGGGAGAGTGAAATTTCTCTGCTACTGGGAAAGTACCTTCAATACCCCCAGGACTCCAGCACTCGAAGGTTTCACAACTCTGAGAAGGAAAAGAGAACCTTTTCCTRGGAACCTCCCCCACCTCCGACTCATCCTCGACATTCACCACCTCATTTGCAAACTGAATTTTCCCCTGGTAGCTCATTGCTCATTATTGCCATGCCATGCTGCATGTGGCACCAMCACTGCCATGCTGGGGGCAAGCAGCTGTGACAATGAGCAGTGAGAGACAAATTTAGCCAAAATGAGTRACTTTTGTACAGCACAGAAACTGCACTTCTTGTCTTCTCTTTCTCACCCATTTCGAGTAAGGTTAGTAAAGGCACGATTTCAAAAATATTTCTGAGAGGAACCAATTTGATTTTTATTTATGCCTCAACAAATGCTRCGCATGAGGTGAAAAATTACTACAGGAGTTGTACACGTGCTGAAAAGCCCTAACATGTGCCAGGTGTTAAGGATGCCTGGRAAAAAATGCCTGRAAATCGGGCTGTGGGAGTAKCCTTAGCACATAAAAGCAGTTGCTCTCTCAGTCTCTCTTTTCCYGTYTCTGCTCTCTTTTCTATCCCACTCTGGTTGGAAGCATATYCATTCTTTATCMAKGAGCMGTTCTCAGATATAATATTTGCTGCTTTTGCGCTTCATTTTCATCCAAGAAATTTATCAAAAAGAATTCTCCCTGGCTCCTTTTACAGTGGGACAKGACAATTTCGCTTCTTGCTTACCTTCCTGTTTTCAAAGTGCAAAACTGATACAGATCTTCACGTAGGTCACATGAGCTGCTGCACAGGGGTTTTTGAAAAGCTAAAACTGAAGAAGYGAATCCACCATCAAAGAAGCTCCTCTGACCTGAAGAGAGGTGATTATTGTTAAAGTGCAGGTAAAGYAGAGGCAGTGAAAGCTTTGAATGTGTTTTAAACACAACCCTGCAATTCTGTCTGGATGGTTCCAGCAAGCAACWGAAAGGTYTTGTCTGAGTGACACCTTCAAGGASTCTCASGCTTTTTATTRAAACTTCCAACTCTRCAGGCAAAAGGGTTTTGGATGAATAAATGGGGGTCCTGAAACCCATCTGTAACCCATTCTCTGCCGTATAAAACTGTGCAYTGAACACTGATGTGAATGTCTTTAGTTTTTCTTTAAAAAAGAAATGAAAAAATATGGAGTTTTGCACCAAAACAAGTCCACTAAGGGACTGTCAAAATTAATACTTTTTTTTTTCTCAGAAACAGACATAGTTTCAGCTAGTTTTAATATTCCAGGCAAAAGATATAACCTTGCAAAACTTTATTTCTTCTTTTTTCCTTTGGGTGTGGGGGAAGAGTCTCCATGTCTAATACCAAGTATAGCTTTCCCTTTGTATTAAAAAGAWTTTTTTTAAAGTAATTTATTTCTCACTGGAAAAAAAAAAAGTGTGCAAATTTACCACAAAATACAAATGTTCGAGTCTAAGATGTCATGAATTTAAGTGCATTTATCAGAAAAACCTCCAGCATTTCTTAGAAAATTAAGGAAAARTCTCACTCAAACACCCATTTAACTTAGAATTTAGGTCAACAGCAGCTTCCTTSTGGTGCTGAAGCTGAGGCCCAGCTGAGATTTGGGGCACATAGGCTGGCAGTGGTAAATCAGCATATGGTTCATAGGCACTGGAGACTGTATATCCAACAACTTTTAGGTCTGCTGAGTTTGTCCTGCAGTCCTTGTAACTCCCAGAGCAACCTGGGGCAGAGGAGGGTGCAAAAAGGCATTTTCCACTTCCCTGGAGGCTCTGAGTTTTGTACCTGAAACTGCATCTGAAAGCCTTGCTGTGGGCAGTCATGTTAGGGTGGAGCCAGTTTTAACRCCCATATTGCCAGTCCCACTTGGAAGTGTATAAATGGTGTTGCACAGCTGAGTTTTAGCTTTAATTCTAAATTTACCTGTAGTCATTGGTGWACATAATCTAGCTTCTGGCATGACAGAAGGCTTCTTTTTCCCTAAATTAATCTAAAAAACCCCCTCTGATCATTTTCAGGGACATTTTCCTTTGCATGAATTGATACTCCACCCTTCCATTTTTCTGGTAACAAACAGCAATAAACTGTTTTTGCCCATGATGGGAGTTAAAGTCTGAGTTTATATTCACCACTTATTATCAACATTTTTTAAAAAGCAATCATGCTGTTCAGGGCTGCTGCTGCAGATGGCCAGCAGCATTTACCTGAGCTAGCTCAGGGAGAGTTTTCTGCAGCTGATTTTGTCTAAGCTGAATCCATCACAGCTGAGCCCCCTACACAAAACACAGCGATCTCAGCTGACAGCAGCACACCAAAGGCAAGAAGAGTTTTCCTGCACGTGCCGTGGACTACAGCCATCAGTGATACAAACCTCAGAGCAAATGTTGGGCTCCTTGTCTGTTCTGGATCCACACATAATTCCCTATTTTGGCTTTGTTCAAGCGTTGCCTGTCTGTCTGTATCCTAGTGTGCAAGTACAGGGGGTTTATGCTGTAAAACTGCTTCACAATCATTCAATTCAGCTTAATTCAGCACGTTTTGTTTTGCAGCAGTAAGTCTTCAGATTCACTAAGGGAGTTAGCCTTATAGTTCTTGGGCATTTCCATGCAGTTCTTTTGTGGTTTACTTCCTAGTTAATCTTTCCTTCATTAATCAAGTGAAAGTCTGAAAYGAACTCTCGGTAAGGATGCTTGTTTGTTCAGCCGGTGACTTAAAGATTAACAAACTTACCCTTTGTTCAAGAATGTTGAGTTCCTGCCTGCCCATGAAGAGGAGAGGTATAAAGTCTGCCTATTGTTWACAGGCTGGTCAAAAATGGGAGTAACCAGGTTTAGAAACAAAGCTGATAYGATCCTGACAATTTAGATAATACAGTAACCGAGGGGAAACCGTGGAAAGAATTTTGAGTGCATTTTCCAGTTTGGTCCCTCTTCTTGTTGCTTCATGGCATTGAGAGTCAGATGTGTTTTCTCACTTGCACATCTGCACAGCAGCATTTCCAGGTGGAGTCCAGGGATCACAGAAGAGCAATCCATGGAGCTTCTTTAGACACCCCGGTAAGAAAACAGCCAAAAGGAGATGGGTCAGTCTCAGTGACTACATGAAAAGCAAACATTTTTAGTTCAGTCACAAGTGAGAATGAAGAGCACAACACATGTAAAACAGACCCTATGTTGCTTTCCTACTCATCCCTGTACCCCAGAATCACCAAAGAGTGAGGCCTTGCTCCTCCAGACCTTGTCCCTGCAGTTCTGGTGGGCAGGAGCCAGTTTTGTCATTTATCTCTCTGCACAGACACATCTTGCTTATCGCCACAGAATCTGCCTGCCAGAGCCACCATGACCACAAGACCTTATCTTGCATGCAATTTCTTCTCCTTCCTGCCTTCACTGCATGCTGTACAAGTGAGACAGCACTTGTGAGACAGCAGGCACCTGCCCAGCCCAGGAAGCTGCCTCAGCTCTGGGTGCCTGCACAGCTTTGGAAACAAAYGGCACTAAGGCCTGCTGGGGTATTTGTACCTTCTTGCTGCAAATAACCCCTTCCAGCCCAACTGAGTGTAATTTTTAAGGCTGTTTTCCTCATAAAGCACATTGGGGCCACCTGTTTCTTTCATAACCTTGTCCTGTTTACATGTACTATCTAAGACAAAGGAGAAGATTATTTCAAATTTAACAACCCTGAAGTATTATCTCAGTTTTTCTTTCAWGCCTGAGAGGACATACAGAAATATCTCTTAATATGGGTCCAYGAGTCATGACTCACTGGCTTTTATAACCCCTTTCAGCAGATTCTTTCCTGTAGAGAGGGACACATTCCAGACAAAAAGACAGTCCTGAAATAATCYTTTTCTCTAAGGCTATGGACATGGAGAAAAGGGGTGCACAAGGKGCTTGCAAAGGCTTAGAGAATCAGCCTTTTGGGTGTGTATTTTCAGAAGGGTCAGCTTCATATAATTGCAGTACTGGTTCCTGCATGGGTTGGTATTTTAGGTTATTTTGCTTTGAAAAACACAACATACATAGGTCAGTGTCAAGCCTTTTATTTTGAACTTGTATGATGGTGCCTAGCAGAAGAACAGACACCTTTTATGGAAGGAATTTGAATGTACACAGTGCACATGAGGTATGTGAGGTATGGGCWTCCTGAACAAACTCCAGCAAGGAACTTTATGTTAGCAGAATGCATTTACTAACAATGCTTGCTGATGAGACCAGATCAGGATATTTTTGTCCCTGGTATCAAAACAGCAGCAGATAGCTGGGGCCTCAGATTTGCTTTTTGCCCAAA